CTCGGGAGCGTCAAAAACAGCGACGCGGGGCGAAGAGCTGGGAAGGGGTCCAGGTCTCCGGGGCCCACGCATCGACAAGAAGTGGTCTGGGGGCGCGAAAGGCGAAGGTGGTAGGGCTCCCCCCCCCCTGGCACGACGCTCCGCGCCCTGCAGAGCCTCGGCGCCGACGAGAGCGCCGACGAGAGGGCCGAGAACCGGGAGACGCAGTGCCAGGAGGCACTGCTGTGCTCGAGGCTCGCGATCCGCAGCGCCAGGCTGCAGCTGGACGCGGGGCGCCGGCTCTGCCGAGCAGAATCTGTGCCATCGCCTGCCGCGCTGGCCTTCGGTCGGGCATGTCCCCCTGCAGGCAGGTTTGGGGCAAAACAATGAAAAATGCTAACACAAGCAATATCCAAGAAAATCAAGAATGGAAAAAAATACCCCAGTGCGACCCTACCTAGAAGTTGAAGCCCCTAGGAAAGCAGCATTAGTTGCTATGCTATGATATGTTATGCCATGCTATGCTGCGCTATGCTATGCTATGCTATGCTATGCTATGCTATGCTATGCTATGCTATGCTGCGCTATGCTATGATACGCTATGCTTTGCTAAGCTATGCTATGCTATGTCATGCTGCGCTGTGCTATGCTATGCTATGCTAGGCTATGCTAAGCCGCGCTATGCTATGCTATGCTCTGCTATGCTATGTTATGCTATGCTGCGCTGTGCTATGCTGTGCTGTGCTGTGCTGCGCTATACTGTGCTATGATATGATATGACATGCTGCGCTATGCTATGATGCGCTATTATATGCTATGCTATGCTATGTTATGATATGTTGTGCTGCGCTATGCTGTGATACGCTATGTTATGCTATGTTGTGCTCTGCTATGCTAAAGCTCAGCGAAGCTACGATGAAGATACAATAAGCTAAGCTAAGCCTTAGCTAATATGAACCTAAGCTATGCTAAGATGAAATAAGATAAGCTAAGATGAGATAAGCAACGCTAAACTAAGGGGACGTAACTGGGGGAACCGCGGGGCGGATGCCGGGGGAACCGCCCGGGGCGAGGAACACTGCCCGGCCCTTTAAGCCCAGACAGTAAGAATCCTTCTAGGCAGAGCCGTATGTTTTTGCTATTTCTGATACTGAGGGAGGGGGGAGGAGGGGAGGACGAGAGAGGGGGGCGGAGGGGAGGACGAGAGGGAGGCGGAGGTGAAACGACGAGACGCGGGGGGGCGTGGCAGGACGGCGGCGAGGATGGCAGCCAGGAAGTGGCCGAGGAGGGCGACGGGTGGGAGCGGGGACGAGGACGAGGGCGAGGAGCAGGAGGGCGATGGGGACGACGACGAGGAGGAGGAGGACGAGGAGGGCGCCGAAGAGGAGTGAGCAGGATGACGAGGGAGAGGAGGCGGACAAGGATGTCTTCCCCTCGCCCTCCTCATCCTCCTCCTCCTCCTGGTCGCCCCTCCTCCTGGTCAGGGTCCAATATGATAGTGTTGCTGGCCCCCGGATGTTGCAGGAGCGAGGCTACAGTGGTATGATGTTGCCGCCTCTCCGGCCTCCCAGAACTCCCTTCCTGGCCTCCACGCGTGCCGCGTGTAATTCCGGCCGCGTGTGCATCCAGCATTCTGGATTGCTTTCGACACCCAGCTTGAGATTCTGGATCGCAGTCCGATCATTCAGAGAAGGGGATACGGTGCGCTGTCGGGAAGGTTGAATGGAAGTGGCCCGCGAGTATCTCATGGGGTGACGCCACTCCGCACGACCCCGGTGTGCCCGGGCGATGTGGTGCGCGCGTTGTTGTGCGGTGCAGCAATTCGCTTCTCCACTTCCTCCTGCTTCCCCTTCTCTTGCGTCTCCATCTCCCCTCGTCTCCCACTCCTGCTCCTGTTACTGCTCATCCTGATCCTCTTGCCCCTCCCTCGCTCCCCCTCCTCTTCGCTCGTTCTCCCTCCTCCTTCCCACCTGCTCCCCCCCTCCCTTCCTCCCTCCATCTCCCTCCTCGACCTCGTCCTCGTCGCCGCCGCCGTCCTCCTCCGTGTCCTCGTCGTCGTCCTTCTCGTCCAGAACTCCCCGACATGCTTAAAAACACTGGAGGAAGACGCATCGACTTCAGACAACCTTTGTTCCCTCGGCCTCCTGGTCCTTTCGGGCGCGGATTAACGGTGGGCGATGAGTCGGGGGGGGGGGGAGGAAGGTGCCCTTGTCGGGCACTGGAGGTCCCCTCTTGGGCCCTGACGGGCCCCAATTCTGCAGCCCTCGCTGCCTCCCCCAGTTATCGCCCCCCTCCGGTTCTTGTGCTCCTCCGATTCTTGTGCCCCCCTCATTATCTCTACGCGTCCTCCGGTTCTTGTGCTCCTGCTGGTTGTCGGGCTCGACCTCCTCCTCCTGCTGATGGCCCTCCTCGCCCCCCCCCTCCCCCACCCGTCCTCCCTTGACGACCACGCCGCTGACGACGCCGCTGGCGTCCGCGCGAGAGCCCCCACAATCCTCAGAAACTGACGCGCCTCCTCGCCAGCCCCGTCTCGTCCTCCCTTGACGACCACGACGCCGACGACGCCGCCGACGTCCGCGCGAGAGGCCCCGATCGTCCTCGAGAACAGCCCCTGGAGCTTTACTGGGTCACGCTCTGACAGGCCTCACTGGTACGTGGCGTGTGAGCTCCGACGCCGCCGTCGCGCTGCCCCCACCATCCTCAAAAGCAGCCCCTGGACCTCCACTTTAGGTCGGGCATGTCCCCCTACAGGCAGATATAGATTTATAAAATACCCCAAAAGTACCTATACGACCACCCTTCGGGTGATAAGGAGGTGAGGGGGGGGGAGGGACCAACGTCGCACTCGATCGATCTCACTATCGAACTCACTACCGATCTCACAATCGATCTCAACCGATGGATCTCACAATCGGTCGGACTATCGATGTCACTATCGGTCTCACAATCGATCTCACATTCGGTCTCGCTATTGATCTCACAATCGATACCACAATCGATCTCACAATCGATCTCACATTCGATCTGACTATCGATCTCACTATCATAATCACTATCGATCTCATTAACAATCTCACATTCGGTCTCACTATCGATCTCACTATCGGTATCACAATCGATATCACAATCGATCTCGCATTCGGTATCACTATCGATCTCACTATCGAACGCACTTTCGATATCATTATCGATCTCACATTCGGTCTCACTATCGATTTCACTATCGATATCACAACCGATCTCACAATCGATATCACATTCGGTCTCATTATCGATCTCACTATCGAACTCACTATCGATCTCATTATCGATCTCAATCGATCGATCTCACAATCGATCTGACTATCGATCTCACAATCGATCTCACAATAGATCCCACAATCGATGTCACATTCGGTCTCACTATTTGTCTCACTATCGATATCACCATCGATATCACAGACGATCTCCCATTCGGTCTCACAATCGATCTCACTACCGATACCACTATCGATCTCACTATCGATATCACAACCGATCTCACAATCGATCTGACATTCGGTTTCACGTTCGATCTCACAACCGATATCACTATCGATCTCACTATCGATCTCACATTCGACCTCACTATCGATCTCACAATCGATCCGCATCACCATCAACAGCATCATCGGGACACCATCAACACCATCATCATCATCATCATCATCATCATCATCATCATCATCATCATCATCATCAACATCATCATCATCATCGGGACACCGACGGGGCACCGACGGGACACGGGCGGGACACCGCGGGCCCCCGGCCGCCCAGAAGGGAATCATTTCGTCCGGCCGCGCCTCAGCCACACGGGACACCAGCGGGACACCGGCGGGACACCGCGGGCCCCCGGCCGCCCGGAAGGGAGTCATTTGGTCCGGCCGCGCCTCAGCCACACGGGACACTAGCGGGACACCGGCGGGACACCGCGGGCCCCCGGCCGCCCGGAAGGGAGACATTTGGTCCGGCCGCGCCTCAGCCTCAGGAGACTTTCTCTCGCCCGCCCACGCAGCTTCGCCTCGCCCGCACGGCACGCACGAACACGAAACCGAAATCGATTTCCCGGTAGGGGGGCTCTCCGTTCCACTTCGATCTCACTCCCTCACCTCCGACTCAAACATGATAGAAAATAATCAAGAATTCGCCCCATGATTATGCTTGGCTATTTTTGAATTTTCCCCCTGTAGAGGGACACGCCCGACTTAACCTTTACTGGAGCACGCTCTGACGTGTTTCGATGATGCATGGTGCGAGCTCCGACGCCGCCGTCGTGCTCTCCAGTCCGGAGCCACGTCGGCGTCGAGAGCTCAGGCCAATCTTACCCGCTCCCAGCAAAGAGCAGAATCCCTTGTGAAGCGGTCCCGTGCCTTCTAGGACTAACGTGTGCAACTTTCGCCTTGGAAGCACTTGCGGGGAACCAGAATCCGAGGCGAACCAAGCCGTGGCGACGAGGCCGTCCCAAGGCGGCATCCAGAACGGCCGAAGTATTAGCTTCCCACTCGTCCATCCTCCCGTTTCTCGGCCTCCTGCTCCATGGTCGACAGTCGGACCTAGGGCAGAAGACCATCCTCCAGGAACATGAGACTCTCCGCCGCCCAAAACACGCAGAACAGCTAAGGAACCCTCCCCAAGATGCAAAACAAAGAACACCCAGCAGGCACGAAAGACATTAGGATGCTCTCCGAACCGACCTCGAGCTTCTACCCTGGTAAGGCTGTATGACAGTGGCGCCGGCCACGCCGAGGACTCCGCCGATGCTCAGGAGAGACAGAAGTACCACTACCACCAGCTAGGGGGGTGGCCGCTCCCTCCCCTCGAGCTGGTGGCACCTCCTTCGGGGAACTCTCTGGAGGCATGCCCGGAAAGAGGTGCCACCAGCTCGAGAGGGTGAGACAGCCACCCCCCTAGCTGGTGGTAGTGGTATTCTTGGCTCTGGTGAGATGCCGACGAGGACGAGGACGCCGACGCCGCCGAGGCCACCGACTTCGGCGCGAGGC